TATGTTGAACCATCCTTGAGATCCTGGGATAAAATCCACTTGGTTGTGGTGTATAATTTTTTTGATGTGTTGCTTGATTCTGTTTGTTAGGATCTTGTTGAATATTTTTGCATCAATATTCATTAGTGATATTGGTCTATAATTTTCTTTTCGTGGTTTGGGGATCAAGGTGATGTTTGCTTCATCGAATGTTTTGGGTAGTATTCCTTCTTTTTCTATGTTTTGGAAGAGGTTAAGTAATATAGGTACTAGTTCCTCTTTAAAGGTTTGGTAGAATTCTGATGTGAAACCATCTGGTCCTGGGATTTTCTTTTTAGGGAGATTTTTTATAGTTGATGCTATTTCAGAACTTGATATAGGCCTATTCAACATTTCCACCCCATTCTGGCTAAGTCTCGGAAAGTGGTATGCTTCCAAGTATTGGTCAATTTCCTTCAGATTTTCATATCTCTGAGAATAAAGTTTCTTGTAATATTCATTAAAGATTTTTTGAATTTCTGAGGGGTCTGTTGTTATTTCATCTTTACCATTTCTGATTGATGAAATTAGTGATTTACTCTTTTTTTCTTGGTTAGGTTGGCCAAAGGTTTATCTATCTTATTGACCTTTTCAGAAAAACAACTTTTTGATTTATTGATCTGTTGTATAATCCTTTTGTTTTCAACTTCATTTAATTCTGCTCTAATTTTGGTTATTTCTTTTCTTCTGCTGGTTTGGGATTGGAGTGTTCTTCTTTTTCCAGTTGCTTGAGATGTCCGATTAGGTTGTTAACTTCCTCTCTTTCTGTTTTCTTGAGGAAGGCTTGCAGTACTATAAATTTCCCTCTCAGGACTGCCTTTGTGGTATCCCAGAGGTTCTGGTAACCTGTGTCTTCATTATCGTTTTGTTCCAAAAATTTGGTAATTTCCCTCTTGATCTTGTCTCTGATGCACCTATCACTGAGCATACGTTTATTTAGCTCCCATGTTTTTGTATGAGTCTGAAGATTCCTGTTGTTACTGAGTTCAACTCTTATTCCATGAATGTCCGAGAAGATGCATGGAATAATTTCTATACTTTTAAATTTACTGAGGTTAGACTTGTGACCTAAGATGTGGTCAACTTTGGAGTATGTTCCATGAGCTGATGAGAAAAACGTGTATTCAATTTTGTTAGGATGAAATGTTCTGTAGATGTCCGTTAAATCCAAATGCTGAATGGTTAAGTTTAAATTAAAATTTCTTTGCTAAGCTTCTTATTGGAGAATCTATTCAACACTGCCAAAGGAGTATTAAAATCTTCGACTATGATGGAGCTGGGAGAAATCAAGTTGCTCATGCCTACTAGAGTATCTCTTATAAATTGAGGTGCATTCTGGTTGGGTGCATAAATATTGATAATTGAAACCTCATCGTATTGAGTATTACCCTTAACAAATATAAAGTGACCATTTTTATCCTTGCTTAGTTTTGTTGGTTTAAAGCTTATTGTATCTGCGAATAAAATTGCAACAACTGCTTTTTTCTGCTTTCCATTTGCCTGGAATATAGATGACCATCCCTTCACCCTGAGTCTATATTTATCTTTTAAGGTAAGATGAGATTCTTGTATGCAGCAGATATCTGGCCTGAGTTTTTTTATCCAGTCAGCCAACCTGTGCCTCTTTAGGGGATAATTTAAGCCATTCACATCGTTTGAGAATATTGATAAGCCTGGTAACATTTTGGGTTTCAAGTTTTTTGAGTCCAGTGGGCATTTTTAATCCTTTTGCCACTGTGGAAGTTGGTGGAGGATTGCGCTGGTCTTTATGGAGGATAGGTCTGAGAATATCCTGGAGAGCTGGTTTACTTATGGCAAATTTCTTCAACATGTGAATGTCATTAAAGTATTTAATCTCCATCATAAATGAAACTCAGTTTAGCTGGATACAGGATCCTGGGATGAAAGTTATTTTGTTTTAAGAGATTAAAAGTCGATGACCACCCTCTTCTTGCCTGAAAGGTTTCAGCAGAGAGATCTGCAGTTATTCTAATATTCTTCCCCTTGTAGGTTATGGTTTTCTTACGTCTCGCTGCTTTTAAGATTTTCTCTTTCATATTAACTTTAGTGAAGTTAATTATGATGTGCCTGGGGGATGTCTTATTCAGGTTGAATCATGCTGGGGTTCTGAAACTGCTATCTGAATTTCAGAATCTCTTGGCATTTCTAGAAAGTTCTCTTTCATAATTCATGAAGAAGAGCCTCTGTGTTTTGTGAAGCAACTTCGTCACCTTCAGGGGTTCCTATAAGGCAAATATTAGTTTTCTTTGAATTATCCCAGAGTTCTCTGAGAGAATTATCTGTTTTTGCTCTCCATTTCTCTTCCTCTTTGAGCATTTAGGCACATTCAAAAGCTTTGTCTTCAGTGTCAGAGATCCTTTCCTCTGCCTGCTCTATTCTGTTACTGAGGGATTCTACCATATTTTTCAGGTCTTTGAAGGCTGCAAGCTCTTGCCTCAATGTGTTAAAATATTTGGTCATTTTATCTTTGAAATCATGAATTCTTGAGATATCTTTTGAATAATTTGAAATTCTAATTCCCTCCTTTCCTCCATTCTGTTAATCTTATTTGCTATCCAGATTCTGAACTCAATTTCTGATATCTCAGCCATCTGTTTATGGATGAGATTTTCAATTGCATCTGCCCCATCCTTCCTTGGGGGAGTTGATCTACTCTGGTTATTCAAGTTACCAGAGTTTTTCCTCTGATTCTGCCCCATGCTGAATTTACACTGTTTGAAATCCATACCAGAACTCTTCAGCCAGTGGCTGCCACTGGAGAAGATGCCAGCTTCCTCTGGTTGCCCAGAGAGGCAGAATGTGTCTGTCCAGAAGAGCCTCAGTGGTGTGAGCCTTATTGTTCCTGGTGCTGTGGCTTCTGCTCTTCACCTTGGGGTACCTCCGTTCAATTGTGGTTCCCTTTCAACTGACTGTCCTCTTATAGCTCTTGGGCTGCCAGCCGGGGGTGCCAGGAGCACATGGCTCTGGCAGTTCTGGGGCCGCTGGATGGGGGAGTGGGAATTGCTGCCGCTGCCAGCAGGATGCGCGTGGCTCTAGAAGAAGTTCTGGGGCCACCAGGTACGGGTGCCTGGAGCAGGAATCTCTGCCACCACCTGTGGAATGCGCCCAGCTCCAGCAGGTCTCCAGCTGCAGAGCTGGGACTGGGTGCTTGGTCCTCCAGGGGTGGGGGATGCTTAGGCCCCCCCACCCCGTCTCTGTAGGCAAAGAGGGAAAGGTGGACTGGGAATTCAAAATGGCAGCGAAAATGTTAGTTCGGTTCTTCTGCCTGGTGAGAGAGTGTTTGGAATCTCAGCAGGGTCCCTCTAGGGGAGTAGACCCCCCTTCCTGTACCTTCACACGTGGGGTGAGATAATAGGTCCTCAGTTCACCACTTACCTGTAGAAAACTTACAGGAGCAGATGAAGAGAAAACAAAGAGAAAAATACAACTTTCTTGGCGCAGAGGATGGACACTTTTCCTTTGGGATGTTGTACCTGTAGATTGCTTTCTTGGAGTCGCAACTTGCCTCAGCAGAGGTGTACTGCAGATATCACTCTTCTCTCTCAGCCAGGCTCCCAGTCTTCAGTTTTACTGGGTATTTTCTGGACGTTATCCTTCCCTCTGGATGGGAGCTTCAGTCGGAGGCTGGCACCTGTCAGCCATCTTGCCCCTCCCCCTGTATTAACATTTTAAAAGTATTTCATTAAACAGATGACAGGATGAGTTTTGCTAATCTGAAATACTGAGAACCAGAAGGATTTCTGATTTTGGATTTTTTCAGATTTGGAGAATATTTGTATTATACTTATCAGTTAAGCATTAACTTACCTAATGCAACAATCTGGAATCTGAAATGGTCCAATGAGCATTACCTTTGAGTTGTCATGTTGGCACTCAGAAAGGTTTTGGAGCATTTGGAGCGTTTCAGATTTTGGATTATTGGACTAGGGATGTTCCGTCTTTATGCTCAAACTCTACTATTGAAAATAACAATGGCTGGGAACCCCTAGCTCGGTGGTGAGAGTGCTGGCCTTGTGCGCTGGGAGAGAGGGGTTCAAACCTGGCCCTGGGCTGCTTTCTTTCTCTCTGTCTGTCTCTCTCACACACACACATGAAAATAGCAGTGACAAAAGTCTGATTAGCTACCCCACAATTATCCACTTCCTTTCTGCAGAAGTAACTACTATAGTGAGTTTTCAGTTCTATTACCTAATTGGGAGAATAAAAAGTAAATTACTATACTCTACTGAAAAAGGGCTTCCAATAAGTAGCATGACTGGCTATGGCTAGTTGGGTTTGAAAGCTATTCTGGTCATTGTGACCAGCCTGTTCTTCATATGGCCACTGATAGGCTAAATCTTTACTCATCTGGGTGATTATTTGAGTATAGTGTTGCTGATTAAATTTAGAGACTTGTTGTAAAAGAAGAGATTAATTCTATCCCAGATGTTTCACAAGTCTGTATAATGTATGGACTTTTCAGTCTCTAGCCTGCATCTTTCTATTGCATTGTGGAGTTAAATTATAAGTGTAGAAAGTGTGAAGGGGAAAGGCAGTCTGAGGAAGCCAGGCTTCCATTTGGTGAGAATTATACCTCCTCCTTGTGAGAATTTAGAAAGCTGGGAGACTGCCAGCTTTTGAAATATTACTTTCATTAAATATTCAAGAATCAATTGATTAAATATAGAATAAGCACTTTCCACAAAGTATTTTCTTGAATTGTTTATGGAATTAAAATTATTAATGGAAGAACCGTGTAGAAAATATTTGTAAAATTGGTTTCCTGGCTTCTCTTTTCCCAGACCTGATGTGGGCTATAGAGTTGTAACAGACAAAGGATTTAATTTTTCACCAGCAGATGAAGCTTTTGTTTGTCAAAAGAAGAACCATTTTCAGATAACCATCCACATCCAAGTTTGGGGAAATCCAAAATTTGTTAAAACCCAAATGGGCCTAAAGCCAATAGAAATGTTTTACTTGAAAGCTTTTGGAATTAAGGTATGTTTTTTATTTAGTTCATTTACTTCAGTCAACATGATTAAGTGTTCCAGATGTCTACTGCTGTGTAACAAACCATCCTGAAATGAAATGACTTAAAATAGTAACAGTCCTTTATTTGGGTCACAAATCTGCAACGTGGTCAGAGCTTGGCTATGGTAATGCCTCTTTGGCTGGCCTCTGTTGGAGTTCAAATGCAGCTCTTGATGGGAGGTTTTCGCTTTTGCTTGCTCAGAGTATGGTGAGCGGGCTCTGAGAATGGGTGTTCCCAGACACCAGAAGTGGAAGATGCCAATTCTTTTTTTTTTTTGAAGTTTTGGCTGGGGCTGGGCTTGAACCTGCCACTCTCGGTATACGGGGCTGGCGCCCTACTTCTTGAGCCACAGGCGCCACCCAAGATGCCAATTCTTTAAGTCTTGGCTCAGGAAATGGCACAGCATCACTTCAAACTGTGTCATTTCAGTGTGCAAATCGTGCACTTCTGTCACCTAACTTATTCTTCATTGATACTGTGATATTTTCAGTAGAGTAAATTGATAATTTTTGTTAGATTCTCAAAGAGGTCTCTGACTTCAAAAAGAGCTAAGCAATCAAGAATTTCATTTAACAGAGGGGAGACTGAAGCCCCGTAATGTTACACAATTCACCCAAGACAGTAAATGGTAGACCTGGGTTTAGAATGCAGGCTGCATGCTTCCTAGTGGTCAAAACTATTGCTTGATGTAGGATCTCACCTTGAGCTTCCTCAGGAGAAGCATTGAGTATCTGCATGTTTCATCCTGATGGCTAAGCCGGTGCAGGCGCTGAGTCTCCTGAAATTAGGCTCGCCTGCTGCACATCTCCAGTGCTCTTGGGCCAAACTGAACTCCTTTTTTTCCTGCCTTCTCCCACGGATTGTTGTAGGAACCCAGTTAGAGGGGTGGGGCCTTCACACATGGTGGAGGTTGAATTTTTCTCACCTTGATCAATAAAAGTACCATCCCAGATGCTCTGAATTTCTATACTTCCTTTTTTTAAAATTTCATATTAAAATGAAGGTAAAAGTGTTTAGATAATGTTGTTTTGTTTCTAAGGTGAAGTTCAAGTTGTAGTTGAGCTTTCACTTGGGGTGTGCTGAACACCTCCACACTGTGCACAGTAGGTGAGATCCCCCAGAGACCCTTCCCCTCTCCCTCCTATCTCTTTCTTCTCCCCTCCCCCTCTCTGGACTCTACTTGTATTTTTACAAACCAAACCAAAAATAAAACAAAAAAATAAATATAGGCTCAGTGTCTGTGGCTCAAGCAGCCACATACACCTGAGCTGGCGGGTTCAAATCCATCCTGGGCCCACCAAGCAACAATGATGCCTGCAACAAAAAATAGCTAGGTATTGTGGCGGGCACCTGTAGTCCCGGCTACTTGGGAGGCAGAGGCAGGAGAATCGCTTGAGCCCAAAAGTTGGAGGTTGCTGTGAGCTGTGATGCCATGGCATTCTACCAAGGGCAACAGCTTGAGGCTCTGTCTCAAAATAAATAAATAAATACAAACAAGAAACAAACAAATTTGTTTTTATTATGGAAATAATATAAGTTCATTGTGAAAAGTTTGAAACATAATAGAAATATATGAATAAGAGATTAAAATTCCTTCATAATTGGGATCCACCATGTGATAGCCTAATTTTTCTGTTATTAAAATTAATCTTATATTGCTAATATTATATTGTGAACAATAACATTACATGATATAATTTTATATTATAAAAATGTTTATAATCATGATGAAATAGTGTTCCATTATAGGAATGCATCCTATTAGTTTCTTTATCATTAGACATTTTGGATATTTCCAATTTTTTATTATTGTTAATAAATCTGCAGTGAACACTCGTTTGCATGAGGATAAATTCACAGCAGGGACTTTATACATTAAAGAGGTGAATGCTATTAAAGTTGTTGATACAGGCTGCCCAACTGCTTTCCAGAAAGGAGGTCACACTGTGAACACTCACAGGCTGTGTATTGTGGGCCTGGTCTCACATGCCTTTGCTGCTATTCACAGAACAACAAGAAGTGTATATAACAGGTGCCAAATAAATACCATCTTATATATTCTATTTATTTATATTGTTTGCCATATATATTTACTTCTAGTAGAATAGAGGCTCTCTCTCCAAGGGCAGAGAGTCTGTTAATTTTGTTCACTTCTTATCCCTAATGCCCAGAGTAGTGCCTGGTCCATAACAGGTGCTCAGTAGATGAGTGAATGCACGCATGCGTCCTTAGAGCGGCCTTGCTCTTATGTTTTGCTCCTGATGTTTTAATAATCTATTAGCCCACTCAGTATTCACCACTTACTCAGAACATTCTGTTGTGCTTTTGTTGTTTAATTTCACAAGTATTTATTTATTTTCTCACCAACAGTACAGTGCTTTAAGGTAGGGACCGTTGTCTTCTATAGACAGTTCCCGGGTGAAGAATGAGATAGGTCATGCAGGTTTGTTCTTGCATTAAATTTGATTTGCATGTAAGTTGGAACAGGTATGATTAAGAGCTTCTGTTCATAAGTGTGAGTCACGTCAGTTGGATGTTTGTAACTCGGGGACTGGCTGTAACTTGCCCTCCTGGCCAGTGCCTAGCATGGGGCCTTAGAAAACTTTTAAGTATTTGAATGTTCTTTACTAATTTGTATTATTATAAATAAAGTAATTAAAGTAGTTAATTTACTTTTTGTTGTTCCATATAGGTAGAAGCCACCAATCAAATAATTGCTATTGAACAGTCCCAAGCAGATAGAAGCAAAAACATTTTCAATCCTGTTAAGTAAGAATTTCTTTTCTGAATTCCTTTGTGAATGTTTTGGGGAAGAAGACCTATCGCCTAATTTATTTTGCCTGTTTAAAATGAAATCCACTGTAGAATCTAATTTAGGGGGTTCGTGTCTGCAGTCCCATCACTGTGAGAGGCTGAGCGGGAGGATTGCTTCAGGCCAGGAGTTTGAGAACAGCTTGGGCAACATAGCAAGACCTACAAAAAATTATAAAAGGAAATTAGTAATAATTTGTTAATATTATGAACATATGTTACTAACAAAAATAAAGTTGTTAAAATGCATTGACAGCATTACAAAAAATTCTTCTTATTAAAAGATCCATTTAAAAATCATTATTTTTATAATTGTTTATTACTAACAATTTTGCTAACAACCTCACTAACAACTTTGGTGCCTTGAGAAAGATTATGGCTAGATCTTCCCTTTAATTTTTCATTTAAACTGGCATGGTGCCAATTGAATTAATTTCAAGGTTCTGGATCCATGCTGTGATTACAATCTCATTATTTATTATTTTCTGAGTGACATTGATAGATGGCAGAGTGGGTTCCAAGATAGAAAGCACATACAACTGGTAGTATCTGAAGGAACATGGCAGCCCCAGCCAGAGTCCTCTGTGTGAGTGACATGAAGGGAAGTTTCCTTTCAGACTGACTTGTCTAGGATGCAACACAGACGCCTCAGTGGTCCTGACCCCGAGTCAACCAACCCCAGTTGGTCCCACATCCTGGACCCACTGAGCAGAAGCCACTTGTACAAACATAGCACTCCACTTGCCTGGTGCATCTGGTTCTCACCTGCCCAGCAGGCTGTGTGGGGGCCTTCTCTGGGGGGGTGCCTCCCACAGCTAGGTCAGAAGGCAGAAGTGTGAAGGAGATGAAAGGCTCCCCAGGAACCCCAAGAATGCTCCAGGCAGGAGGTGCCTGCAGGCACAGCAGTGGTGGCAGCAGCAGGAATGTCTTTTCTCCCCTGTGTGGAGGTGAAAGCACCCACACGTGGTGTGTGAGCAGAGGGCCCTGGGGAGTGAGCGCGTCTCACCATTTGTGTTGACCTGTGGCCTTGCCTGGCAGCTGTCCCTGGCCATGCTGTGGGTATTGGTTAATAATCTGTGACTAGAATAAACCATCTTCTGTGGCAAGATGAAAACTGGGGCCTGGGCATCCTTGAGAGGCTAAACAGGGATTAAACATGATCAGGGACTCTGCTTCTCTGACAGTCTCTTCGTATTCTGCTGTTTGTTTTAGAGTTGACCTACTGGCCGACCAGGTCACCAAAGTAACACTGGGACGATTACACTTCAGCGAAACCACAGCAAATAATATGAGAAAGAAGGGAAAACCAAATCCTGACCAGAGGTACTGGCTTCCCTGTGAACCCGGCGGGGTGGCCGGCGAGCCTGTCTGACCAGGACACGTCCTCCTGGGGCCTCTTCCCTCCTCCACCCCCCACCCCAGCTGGCACACTAGGCTTCCCGGAACCCTTCTCCTCTCCTCACTGACTCTCCCAGTGCAGGAACATGTCTCCCTGACCTGTCTTCTCCCACCCTCATGCCCTGCAGCGCCCACCCCTCTGGCCAGCCCTGCCCTGACTCCCTCTGTGGTTCTCTGGAGAGACCACGTGTGAGATCTCACTGCCGTCTGAGGGCTGCAGATGGATTGCATTCCCCCAGACTGTGTGCCGGTTGCTTGTATGATGCTTTGAGACCTGAAGCTCTGCTACAACCTTTGTGGTTAAACAAAGAAACAAACAGAACCCCCCTCCCCCCAAACTTGCCTTCCTGATTTAGGCCTGCGGTTCTCAAAGTGTGGGTGCGGGACTAGCGGAGATGGTAACATCTGGATGGTTGTTAGAAATGCAAATTCTTGGGCCTCATCAGAGGTACTGAATTAAAAACTGGAGGTGGGCCCAGCACCTGATGTTTTAGCAAGCCCTCCGGGTAATTCTGATGCATGCCCGAGTTTGAGAACCCCTGGTTTTAGAACATAGCCTTTGCAGTTGGACAGAGTTGAGTTTGAGCATTTGATACTGGCATTTTCTAGCTGGGTGACCTTAGGCATGTAACTTAACCTTCCTGAGATGCATTTTCCTCTGGTTGTTTTGGGGGTCTGAATAAAATACTATCGGTAAACTGCCTAGCTCAGTATCTGACACATTTTTGAGTTCTCGGTGGTAGCTAATATTAATAATGACAACAATTATTACTATTACTAATTTCCTTCAGATATGGGGAAAACTTATCCTCTGGGAGTTGGAGAGAATCTACAGTGTTACAGAGGGAGCTGGTGAAGTTTTTCCATGTAGTTCTTAGGGTGAAAGCTTCCCTGGTAGTGATAGTTTTTATTTTGGCTTTTAAGAAATGGCCTAATCTTAAAATTATCTCATCAATGGTACATGTGAAGAAGCAACTGAAGTAATAGTGATAAAAATTGGCTTGAGAGTAACTGGAGGTGAGGTTCAGGCTAGAGTTAAGATCTGAGGATTTTGAAGGCTCAGAATACATGGCCAAGAGCGGGTTGGGGTGGGAAGGATCCAGTGTGGTGGGGCAGACCCTGCTGGGTCATTCTCAGTCACGTAGTGTGTATGGCTCTGAACAAAGGGACCTCTCAGGTGGCTTGTTGTGTTTGTGAGGGCCCAGGAATGCAGCGTGGAGTCTGTGCTGACTCAGCCCAGGTGCGCTGAGCCCAGGCCGCCCCTGGGATATGTCCCCAGGGAGGGCTGCTTTCCTATTGCTTTGGGGCCTGCAAAACCACTCACACTTCCTTCCCACTGTGCAAAGGCCAACACAGAATAATAGCAAGTGAATCAATTACTCTTCTGTTTCCCTGGGGGCACAACTTAGAGCAAAGGGAAAAGGCAAGCTTTAAATAAGCAAACTCATCTAGGTAAATTCACCATGGATTAACTGCTGGGTGGTAATTGATTGCATATATTATTTCTCCATTCCCCGATGTGTTGGCCTCGGTCTGCTGTCTCTGAACTAGATACTTCATGTTGGTGGTTGGACTGTATGCTGCTCACCAAGACCAGCTCTATCTGCTGTCTGCCCGCATCTCGGAAAAGATCATCGTAAGGGTAAGCTCAGTTCTCTGACTTTTCTCAGTCTCACATGCTTTTCTTCCTCGTAGGTAGACTTTGAATTTCCAAGGGCTTGCTGAAGCATGTTCTGGTGATGACGGGAATAGCAGAAACTATTAGTTTAGTTTGTACACACTGGTTTTCAACCAAGAGTCACACGACACAGGATTATACTTCCCCAAATACCAATGTTCTAAGCTTGAGCTAAATAATTTATATATGACCTCGTTTTACGTGGTTGTACATTTACTTATATTCTTTACACCCAGAGGAACTAAAGCTTGAGAGGCCAAGTAACTCACCCCTGGTCACATGGTTTGTGAACGACAGAGCCTGGATAGTAACCCAGTTCTCTCTGGCCCCGGAGCCCACAGGCTGGGGAGAGTGGCAGGGGGGGCCTTTTATGCCCCACAGTGACTGGTGAGACCGGGCTCTGGGCCACTGGCAATGGCTCAGCCCCTTTTGCTGGCTGAATGATGGTTCACAGCTGTGGAAGGAAGTCTTGGCAGCCACAGAAACATAAAGCTGTTGGCAGCTGCAGCCACAGCTGTGTGAGGTCAGGCTGGCGGCCGCAGAGAATGCCATGAGCATAACGTAACAGGAGACCACAGCCCAGCAGCCTGGCAGGGGCTGTGGTGTTGTGGGTCTTTGGAGCGATGCAGGGAGGAATGTGACTCCAAGGGGAACCATGTCCACCGCAGGGATGTCCCTGTGTGCGGCTGCTAACCCTAGGCTTTGGGAAGATCTGCCCACTTGGGGAAGTGGAGTCTCTCTTTGTCTGCCTCAAGCCGTTCTGAAACAAACGGCCCTCTGTAAATTCTCAGTCAATTAAAAATAATAAGCCACCCATTAGTGGAAATCCTGCAACTATGTCTCAAAGTTTTAAAGTGGGTGAAGTAATGATCAAAATGAGGTAAAACATATTAGCGTGTTCAGCTACCCCAGGGTGAAGGCCAGGCTTGTCCCAGGCTGCACTTTTTTTTTAGATAGTGTCTCAAACTGTCACCCTTGGTAGAGTACCGTGGCGTCACAGCTCACAGCAACCTCCAACTCTTGGGCTTAAGCAATTCTCTTGCCTCAGCCTCTCAAGTAGCTGGGACTACAGACTCCTGCCACAAAGCCCTGCTACTTTTTGGTTGTAGTTGTCATTGTTGTTTGTCAGGCCTGGGCTGAATTAGAACCCGCCAGCTCCAGTGTATGTGGCTGGCTCCCAAGCCACTGAGCTACAGGTGCTGAGCCCCAGGCTGCACTTTTATGGGGACTGTCATAACCTAGGGCTCATGAAGGTCCTGGGGGGGTCATATGCCAATCACAGAGGTGACCGCCCATCCCTCAGCCCGGTCAGGACCATCTCTGAGACCTTATCGGACATAATGGGGTTGCTTAGCTGTACTAGCAAATCTGATTTAAAGTAAAGTCTAGACACCTAGGTTGTTTATTGTGTTTGGTTTTTCTTAGGAAGGAATAAAGACAGGTGATGCCATTCTTTTCAGAGTTAGCATTGATTAGATTAGAGACCATGATGGTGCTGTCCTGAGCTGTGTAATTTATGCTGCAGTCAGATAGTCTGCTAGTCACGTGTAGACTTTGAATAATTTACCTACCTAGTGACAAGATTTCTCCATTGCTGCTGGCAGCTCCTGCAAAGCTTCACACAGCTGCTGTGCGGGGCCACAGATGGCAGCGCACGAGGGAGGGAGTGCCACATGCCAGCGTCCTGTTAACTCCTGCTCATCGGTGCCTGCTCAAACCCAGAGCGCAATGATAATTAGTTCATCAGCATCGTGTTTGGAAGGTGCACGCTTCATATTCAGTATGAATAGCAACTCGTATTCACGATGAATACAAAAGATTAAATTTTACTCAGCATTCTTTGGGTGTCATGTTATTCACCAAGTTTTCATTTTAGAAAATGATTGTATCCAACATCGATAGCTTTCGCCTACTTGTAACTTTCGATTAAAGACAAGACCCTATTCTCCACGTGTGCTGGCTCACACGAAGATTATTATAGCAGCAATGAGAAGAAGAAGAATGGTGATGCCTTAACACAAACCCTTCATCCCCCGACTGCAAATGCCTTATTGATATTATTTTATCCTAACCCCAAAACATAGAAATAAAAATAGAATTTTCAGTCTACTTAATTGTTTGATATTTAAGCTAGCCAAGAAAAACAACTAGATTTAAGAAGTAGTATTATTATTTGAATCAGTGAATGATAGAAATGTCCCCAGAATATGGTTCCTGCCCACAGGATTCTGGAGGAGCCTTCACAGGTGCATACGTATGGTCTGAGCAGAGACAGACAAGCCTACCTTTTACAGAGGAGCCAGATGTGCCCTCATATGCCATGGTCTAGTTGTTAATTAGCTCCAGAATGAAGGATGGGGAAAATCTTGACAAGATGGTTCAAACTCTGACCACATTAAATGGAGAAGTGCAAATTGCATTTAAGCAAATCCAGAGTCATTTGTGGCGTAAGACCCACTCTTCCAAATGTCAGAGATTAATGTTTCACTATTGGATAAGGGTGATTGTCTAAAGGTTAGACCATGACGAGTTTCAGGTCTCCAGGAGGGGCTGAGGAGCCCAGGACACCAGGCTTGTCAGAATTCCCCCTGTGCAGAGAGTGGTGGGCAGGATCCAGTATTTGTTCATCTGGGCTGTCAATCTTAATAGCTTTAGAGGTATATTATGGTCCTGTAGTATAAATTGACCAATTTAATGGAAATTAAGGTTTACTCTAAGGACAGATTTCTTTCCCGGGTCTTTGTTTCTGGGCGCATTCCCCAGTGGAGTTCCTCTGAGGTTAACGATTGGGCTTTAACTGCAGCCCCACTTCCCTCCTCGAACATTTAATTAAACCTGGCTGGCAGCCTTATATTGAAAGCAGGAGGGATGATTACTTTTGTCTGCCTTTCAAAGACACTCTAGGGTTTCCTCATTTTGAAACTAGTAAATTATTCTAATTTCTTTTTCAGAAGAATAGAAATGGGCACGTCCCCAACAAATCCTTCTTTACTGCTCTGCAAACCACACTACCGTGAGTGGGAAAACAACGCCTTGGGGTGGCAAAGAGCAAGGGTGGGCAGGGCAGAGCCGGCTCAGGTGCCTCGCACACTTTTCTCATCACAAACCTGCCTTCTCCCTCAGCGTGTCTACACGCATGCCCATGCACACATGTGCACACACAGACGCACGCATGCACTCAAACATGCACACGTGCGCGCGCGCGTGCGCGCGCACACACACACACACACACACACACACACTGTGCTTCTGGAGTCCAGATGAATTTTTATTTACCCAAAGGCATCAGTTTGTGCAGTAGCCTGTTGTACTCTGTCAGAGCTTTCTGCCAACTATGGGAGGGGTAACTCATAACCAGGGGGCCATGGCATAAAAAGTACAGTTCCAAACTGTATTAGGAACAAGAATCTCCCGAAGAGCTTTAAAAAAGATTCCTGGGGCCTGTCACCAGGGTTTTAGAGTCAGTAGGTCTGAGTGCCTAAGACTGTGCATTTCTAGCCAGCCGGCCTGCAGGCCACGCCCGGAGTTGTGAAAGAAGACAGCATAAAAGGTGAAAAGTTGGCTTTGGAAAGCTTGATTTCTCAAAAGTTTCCTCAGGTCAAGCTCTCTGATGAGCTCTTTCCTGCTTTTGAATCCCCAAAAGTAGCAAAACAAAAAATTTCCAATTTTTCATTCTGAATTTAGAGTAGGCCTCAGATTACTACCGAGATTGCCTCCTATTCCAAGCCCCTGCAGGGGGCGCCATTTACATTGTATTTTTTGTGAAAGGAGCTCCCGGAAAGGGCAGGACAATGGCAGGTGCATTGCAGAAGAGAGCAGAGCAAATCCACCTGAAACAGAGGCTGCTGGGGCCCGGCCGAGTGTGTGGAGAATGAATTTCAGACCTTTCATCCTCAGTTTTGCAGACCATTCATGCACACATGGTTTTAATTAATCCCACAATAACTTTGTGAAACAGTAGAGAAGGCATTACTGTGTCTTTATCTTCAGAGGAAAACACTTGCACAGAAAGATTGAGTGAGTGCCTCCAGGTCACACAGCAGGTTTGCATAGACTAGAATGTTTCGATCTTCCCTGAGGATATGAGGTTATGAGATTAATAATTAAAGGACAAAAAAAATAATAATTAAATGACAGTGGAGCCTCCATACCTGACTCCTTCTTAGATCGGCCACCTCCTTAGGCTGACCTAATATTCTTAGACTGGACATGCACCTTGTGTACAAGGCAGTACATAGACCTAGTCCCTTATGTTGACTGCTTCTGTATGTTGACAAGTTTGTTACAGTCCCTTGAGTGGTCGACTTGCAGAGGATATTTTTAGAAATGTTAATTAATTTTGGCGTTTGATATCCATCAACCACTACTGGACCATGTGCAAATACATTGTCATAATTCCAGAAAGAGGGAGTATGTTACAGTTTGTTTTGACATATGAAGATTGTGGATTCCAGAGAAGGGAAGTAAGTTCACAGGTCTTCCGACATTTCCTCTTGCTGGTGAAAGCCTCTGCATAGGCCTATATAACTAAAACATTGTAGATTTGTGACCTTTTCCAAAATGATTTGAACATATTTTAGGGCTTTGCGATTTCATCCAAAGAAGACGAATTGAGAATGTTGCAATTGTTCCTCCAAATTAAATCTTCTTACAACTACTTTTCCAGTATCAGGTTACCAACATGACAATAATGATCCCAAAGCTCATTAAGAAAAAAAATCCATCACTGTCTTATTTTTGTTTTCTCGAAGTGGCTCATTAGGTTCAGAATAGAGCAAACTACATCCCCATTGTACATGGCACACCTTAGGATTCAGCTGAATGCTTGCTATAAAAGGATTTGAGTCAAAGCCAATTTGCAATTCACAGCCAAGTGGGCTCTGGGGACCATGCCGGAATCCTCTTTGTTCAAGCACAATTCACACAAAATCATGCTCGAAGTTGTTACTTTGTAATCATTTCCCCTTCACCTTCCACTCTGGTGCTCTGCGTTCTCTCACTGCCTGTCTGTCGGGTGTCAATGGTTCAGCCTTCCAAGCAGCTCCTGGTTCAGACAGGTGGGGGTGCAGCTGAAAGCGAACAGACCCCAGAGTTCCTTACTGAACCCAAACTAAGTACTGAACTTTGCGGGATTTTATAAATTATTTTTTAAATTGGTACCATGTATATATGGCAAAGCACTCAAACAGTACCAGGAGAGCACTCAGTAGGGACGGAGACTCCTTCCCACCCAGTCCCCACCTCCCAGCGTCCATCCTGAGGAGCCCCGGCGGCCACTTCCCGACTCATCTTTAGCGACGAGCTGCACATGTCCTTGCTGCCCTTGCACAGGCTCATTTACCACCGGGAAGGCGAAAAGCCAAGTCATTGGTCATCTTTTTAGGTGGTCAGGTTTCAATTGTTTGTCTAAATTTGTGACAACCTGTCTTAAACACACAAATACAATATTTAGGCAAATGTCATAATTTTAAAAACAAAATAATTTTCTTGTGAGGACTTGGAGGTCCCTACTTAAAGATCCTGGAAATACATCCAGTGGCCAGCAGGAGAGAAGGGAGTGCAGGGGAAAATGTCTCGGCAAGCAATTTTATTTAAGAGGAAAATCTCTAACAGTGGTTCTCAGCCTTCCTAATGCCGCGATGTATTTTCATTTTTACAGAGGGGTCGTGACCACAGGTTGAGAACCGCTGCTCTAGAACTCTGTCTAGTCTGGTACTGTCAGCTGGCTTTTTTTCCTTTTAAAGACCACTAGGTCTACTTCTAGGCAGCACTATGAAACAGGCAAAGTTAGGATTATTACTTAATAAGCACAGGAAGGATAACTCCAGCTTCAGAGCTTACAGCTTTTGGGCCCTTGACAATTTATCCTTCTAGAGTGTCAGTGTCCATAACATGAGGACCATAGCACGAGTCTTGGAGAACTGCAGTGTGAGTCAGTGCACAAGTGCAGCCACTATTCATCCTCAGTCCCATGTGCTTAAGGAGTAACTGAGGCGTGTCAGAAATATTTATGTTGCCATTTGCTTGTCAATAATGTATGAAATCGTAAATATAAAAGTATTTTGAATCTACAAATCAGCTAGCCAAATGCAAGGTATTTTTATTTATCTGGGATTTAATGAACTTGTAATATTTTTTGATGTAAATTCTAATTTTAAGTCATTTTTGTTATCATCCCTGAAAATCACTTTTAGTTTTCTATGGCTTCATCATCCAGATATCTAGTATAATAGATCCCAGTGTCGATTCCAGGGAAATGTGATAGAGACTGGATGTCCCAAATCCTGCCAATGGAGGGTGAGTGGCTGGGAGCCTCCCTGGCTCCTCTGGGCCCCAGAGTTATTTGCCTCAGTCAGAATGTCTAATGTAGGATTGTCGTGTCAAAGACTTGGACAACATTCTGCTTTTCTTTGCTCTGAAGACTTATGTGATCATCTCTCCTGATACTGTAACTTTAATTGTTATACATTTCTCTTTTTTTCTAGGCCTCTAACCCTGGGCAATTTGAAAATGACAGTGATGTATTATGGCAGCGAGGACAAGTTCCAGAATCCGTTGTCTGTCACGGCCGAGTAGGAATCAACACAGATGCACCAGATGAAGCCCTGGTTGTCTGTGGCAACATGAAAGTGACCGGGTCGGTGCTGCACCCATCTGACAGCCGGGCGAAGCTCAACATCCAGGAGGTGAGGCGGCAGCTGGGCCAGGGCGTGCCGGGTGCCTCTGGCCTGTGACACAGCTTGCGCCTGCTGTCTTTATGTGCCACCCATTGGTGTGAGACGAACCCGCTTCGTAAAAAACGATGACGGAGCTGGCGGGCACCACTGCCGATGTAAAGCAGGCCCTGCCTGCAGAATGCTTCACACGACAGAGCAGAGTGCGAGGGCAGCGCGTCCCCCGCTCACGGTCATTTCCCGCAGGCCATTGCCTTTCCGCCTTTCCTCCTGTGCCTCGTCAGCTCTGGAGCCTGCGTTTCCCTTTCTATCTCCCTGCTCACGTGCTGAGCCTGGTCTCAGTCCAGCTCCTGATCACGTTTCTCCTGGAGAGCTGCAGCCTCCTCCCCTCGGAGTCCCTGGCACCACCCCTGCCAGCCGCCGTCTTCCTTGCCTCCTCTTTCTCTGAGGAGCAGCTGAGAAGTTCCACCTCCTCTGTCCATCTGTCCCCAAGGGGAGGCAGTGCCCCTGGTGGGAATCAGGAGTCAGGCCCAGACAGCAGGAGACTGCTGTCCACTCTGGGCTCTCCCAAGGACATGGCCTTGAGAAGATGCTTTATCTCTAAACTCAGTGTCTTTTTCTATAAGATGGAAATGGTGCCTGCCTGCCTGACACCCTGGAGGCTTTTTTATTTTTTAATCAGTTGAGATAGTAAGTACTGAATCATCTTGGAAAGTCATAACTGCTGTGCAGACCACAGGGACAGGGATTCAATCCCTTAGCCAGGCCACTCTTGGCTCCAACTTATCCTCCTTTTAATCCTGTTTTCCATTTATTGCTTCTAGCACTTCCTCACCATTTTATTCACACTGCTACTAAGCATTTTGGGGGCTGTGGCAGAATTATGTTTTTAAACTCCTTTCCCTTCTTTTCCTTGCTCCTTTTGAGCTAATCAGAGACCTAATCTGTTAATTGTTGGCCCTTCCTCCAGCCCACATTCCTTTCCTAGCACAAATGTGCACTGGGTTTTCTTCTCTCAGACATCTGGGCTCAGGCTGTCCTCCTACCTCAGCCTCCCAAGTAGGTAGGACTATAGGCATCAGCCACCAGGCCTGGCTTATTTTTAATTTTCAGTAGTACCAGGATCTCACTATATTGCCCAGGCTGGTCTCAAACTCCTAGCCATAAGGGATCCTCCTACTTTGGCCTCCCACAGTGCTGGGATCATAGGTGTGAGCCACCTCAGCCAGCCTGATCTATCTGCATTTATGAAGTATGCCGAGAAATCTTATCTGTCCCACCCACCGTTCATTACAGAGATGAGAGAGGTGTTGGTGATGTTGATGACGGTGCTGAGGGGTGTGTGAACTTCATCTTCCCCTCTCACTGACTCACTTTTTCCAATGTTTAAAAAGAGAGGCAGTCTTCCAGACGCTCTGGGAATCTGACGCAAATCTGGTTGATGTGATTGCTTGCATAGAACTGAAGGCAATTTCTCAATCTTGAGAATCCATGCTGTCCAACGCTGGCTTCTGGATGAGCTGTTGCCAAATGTGGTGCCAAGTATGTTGCTTAATCCTGCGATCAGGGAAAGTGAGTGCATGTTACTGGCTGGTCCTGACTGTGCGTCTCCTCACTCAGGCCAGTTGGCTTGTGGCTTTAAGTGCATGAGTTTCGGTGGAGATCTTTGGTGCTCACAGGAACACAGATCCGAGACCTGGAGAAGGTGGTGCAGGTGTGGTCAAGGCCCGTGCAATGAGGTGCCACGCAGAGGAGCTCGGCCCTGGGAGGAGCGGCGTAACTTGCCCAGACACAGCGCTGAGTCTGCCACCATGACTGCGCCTGAGAAGGAAATGCTTCTGTGTGGGGGACACTGAGCAAGACGAGGGTGGGAGGCCATGTTGGAAGCCCAGGGCCCACGAAGAGCCTCAATGTCAATGCAAAAAACAAACAAAAAAACAAACGAGAGGAAGCTGGGAGTTGAATACATCAGTCAAATTATTTGGTGAAGGCTGAAAAAACTCAGCAAGAGACTTAAAAAATAAAAGCCAGAGAAGGAAATCAGTTAAAATGAAATGCTTAAAGGTTGTTGTTTTTCTCCTAACTGCACCAGCCGTGCGCTAGTGGACGTATGACAAGCTTGGGAAAGTCAGACTTACAGAGGCTCCCCAGGGCCATGAACCAAATGCAGGAGGGTCTCAGCAGAGGGCGAGCAGGTGTCAGGAACGCTGCTTCTGATGTCTGGTCATGGGGTGGGGCCAGAACCAGGCGGCAGGTGGCAAGATGGCTTCCCCAAACAGCCTGCGTACGTCCATGCACTGGAAGGTCTTCTCTGTGGCTCAATTCCTGGGTTAATGTGATAGAAACTTTGGGCATGAGGCGGAATGACGGTGATGGCCATTTACATCCGTGGTCAAAACTTCCCAGAACTGCCAGTGGGCAAATGCAGTTTCCAGCTTCTTACGCAGCAGACTTTGATGAGCAAGGCGTAGCAGTCCAGTGCTGGCCCGTGCTGGGTTCCAGGGGTGGATTCCAAGGATTCAGTGGAGACACAGCCTGTGCCTCCAGGGCTTCCTCTAGGCCAAGTGCACAGACCGGGAATGTGCACTCCAGACTGTTTCCACTTAGCTTTGGGGAGTCTGCCAGCCAACATGAGACACAGAAGAGCGTTTTCCTTGAGGAACATTGTTATATGAAGTATTTAGGTCTCCAAGTTAAGCCTCAAAAGTTTCTTTGATCATAAATCTGTCTAAAGGACAATGGTGAGAGTCCATTGTCCACTAGAGAAGCCGACTGCTCTGTTTAGCAATGTCTTCGGGAAAATGCATTAAAGAGCCAACCTGGAAATCAGGAGCCATGTTCCCTCGGGAGCCGGGTGCGGACACATCTCCTCCACTTTCTGTCTACAACGAAGGGGCCCACATGGCCTCTGCTGTGTCCTCCAGTCGGAGCTCACGAAGGCTGGACCTGAGTGACGGGATGTCGGGAAGTGGGGGTAGGACTGTGGGGTGGGGGAGGGGAGAGGAACTGGGGACGCAAGGCCAGTCCAGGCCAGCCCCTAACAGGCCCTCTCTTCAACTCTGCTGGTGTCAGGCACTGTCTTGCCATCCCACCACTTTCATTCTTCCTTTTCTTTTCTGTTGAAGATTTTGGGTGCCCATGATATGTCAGCCGCTTCGCTAGGCACTGTGCACGGCCTGAGAGGAATGACAAGAATGGAACTTTTTACCAAAATTTAAGCTCCAAATTAAAAATACTTATTGAGTCTCCAGTGCCCAGGAGACTGCGTGTGGTGCATGAGAGCTCCTTAATCCATCCTTGTCGGCCGGAGAGGTGGCACACGTCTGTGATCCCAGCACTCTGGGAGGCCGAGGTGGGTGGATGGCTTGAGAGCAGCCTGAGCAAGAGCAAGACCCCGTCTCTACTAAAAATAGAAAAACTAGCTGTGTGTTATGGCGGGCACCTCTAGTCCCAGCTCCTTGGGAGACTGAAGAGGAAGGATCACTTGAGCACAAGAATTTGAGGTTGCTGTGAGCTATGATTGCACAGCACTCTAGCCTGGGCAACAGAGGGAGACTCTTGTCTCAAAAAACCACAAATTCATCTATTTTGAGCGAGTGAAGGAGCTTGCTGTAACCGACACATCCCAGAGCACTATGAGGTTGCAGCTGTCCTGCCAGCATGACCTTCGAGGCCCTGCCTGGTCTCGCTTCAGCCTTTACAGTCTTGTAACTTTGAACTCAGCTCAGTTGTCCAGATGTTGTCAGGGGTCTGTGGCCTTGGGGCTTGGTCCTGGTGCCCTCTACCTGCACTGCTGTCTCAGTCTCACTGTCTCCACCTCACTCTCTGCCCTCCACCTGTGTCTGGTGCCTATCGTAGAGTCATAATGTACTTAATAGCTGTTAGATGAATGCCTATCACTCGCAAGGCCTTGTGCTAGAAATCAGTGAGTGACAGGGTGTGAACAGGAACTGTGCTTGCCTTCATGGAGTGTTTATTCACCAGGTGACGACTGAGAGTGAACCCCACAAAGTCCGTTGTCTGATGAGGGCGGGAAGCAGGTGCTGTGGGCACAAGCAGAGGACCTTTCTTGGTCTTGGTGGTCAAGAGATGCTTCTGAGAGGAAGGGATGTTTAAACCAGGGGAGGTGGAGGGTGGAGGGTGGGAAGGAAGAGCTTCTGAGGCCGGGAAAACAGCGCGTGCAAAGACCAGAGAGGAGAGGAGCAGGGCGCGTCCGGGAACTGGACCAAGCCGGCTCTCAGGGGCTCCACTGTCTCAGGAACCCCTTTCTTTATGCCCCTCGGAATGTCTCAGGAGCCTCCTCGGAGCTGCCGTGCTTCTCCATTCACAGCTCCATCACTGGCCTGTCACTGACATCGTAACATCACGGTCTGTGTTGTGTCTGACTTCCCGTCCAGACCGCAGACTGTGAAAAGGCAATTATATTTTAAGTCCCAACATTTATATAGGGAACGATATATTGAAGGTGACTGGTAAATGTTAGTCAAAAAATAAATGAATTAAACTAAGCTTTTGGTAACCGTAAGTTCTAAATTATATTCCTGAATTAGTACTTGAAGTAAAGCTGGTCCACTTAGCCAATTAAGCTCCAAGCCTCCATCTTCACAACCAGCAAACTGGTGGAGGACTGAGGCTGGAAGTGACTCTGGAGGGGTCGGGGAGGAGTTGGGAGCCAGCAGAGGGGTTTTCTTAAAACAGTAAGAAGTATTTTGGTTTCTCTGTCACACGCATGAAGGCCCAGGCAGTATATTTTTAATTGCCAAGATCCCACTGGTTTCATAATCCAATTATGTACTAGAAGAAAATTTGGGACTCTCAAGGGCTGTCAAACTTTTTACTTGTCAGATAAAATTAAAAGAATTAATTCTGTTATGACCATCAATTCATTAAAAAGAAACCCAATAAACTCAAATTAAAGGGGAATCCCTCAATCCTCCTACATGGATCAAACACATTTAGCTTTGGGGAAAATTCACTTTATTGTCACATCATTTTTCTGGGACCCAGTGAAATTATCTTGAAAACTCTTCAAAGACAGTGGGAAGGTGTTTAACAGCCTCCAGACAGTGATCTCAGAGGAGTGGGGAGGGGACACCAGGGCGCCTGCAGGAGGGAGGTGTGAAGAGAGGGAGCCGTGTGGTCCTAAGGGACAGCGGTTGGGTGACCTGGCTTGCCATCCGCTTGAAGAAATTGTCTCCAGCTAAATGCCCAGAAGCAATTCAGTGACGTCTCTGCGTCACTCTGGGCCCTCATTTGAATAGCAAATATCTCAGTGGGTGAAATCTGCTCTTCTTTAATTAAATTAGGTTGACACAAATGAACAGCTGAGAAGAATAGCCCAAATGAGAATTGTTGAGTACGACTACAAGCCTGAGTTTGCATCTGTGATGGGAATAAACCCTGCCCACCAAACAGGTACACGCACATTTTCTTTTTAATTTTGAACTGTTAACTATTAAAATGTTAATTCCCTCTTTATTTTGAGGTAGTGTGCCATGCCATATACCTCGTGGGTATAACTTGCTCTCTGTGTAATTCCTCGCCCCTGGAACAGAAAAGGTTAATGAAACTCTGTGGCATTTTTACTCAACACCCCTGCTCCTGCACCCCAAGCTACAGGTGGAGTATTTTGGATAGATAGTTTCTTCTGAATGGAGCCCTCTTGCCCATGGAATGAGGGTCAAGGGTGGGTGACAGCTCAGCCTGCATGAGGAGCAGCAGTGAGCGTCCAGAGGAAGGTAGCCAGGTAGGTGGGCCCAGTAGGAGCAGGCCATGTTATGCTCCAATCCAGGCATCCTCAAGGAAGAAGGAATATTTAGTGACAAAGGTCCCTGTGAAGAGGGAGGAAGTCAAGCCACTGCCTTGGCCTTAGCTCTGCCCACAGGGATTTTAAGGTATTTGCTGTTTCCAACATTTGGCCCAGAGTCTAAAAAAAAAAAAAAAAAATTAAAAAGCAGAGAAAATGACACTCCCATTTTTAATCCTATAGTTATTTTTGGCTCAAAATTCCTTCGTTGCCGCAAATGCTCTGTAGATCCAAGCAAAGGCTTACATGGGGTGAGCTCCTGTTCTCACGGGGCTGACAGTGTTCCCTTCAAAGTTGGGCCGTGAGGGTTTTCCCCGGGCAGATCCAGCCTAACCTGCTGGAGTGTTCTGTGTGCAGGCATGATTGCCCAGGAGGTGCGAGAAATCCTGCCAGCAGCCGTCAGAGAGGTTGGTGATGTCACCTGTGAAAACGGAGAGAAGCTGGAGAACTTCCTCATGGTCGATAAGGTATCCCCGGGAAGATGCCCCTCTGGGCAGCAGGGAGGCTGAGCTGTCTCACCAGGACATGGGAGTTCAGAATTCCCCACTGAGCCGAGGAGGGAGTTTGTACCTCTCACCCTTCCTGTGAGCGTGGACGTACATAGCACAGCGGCTGAGGTCACAATCCACACATCAAAGTCTCCATTAGACTTCATCTTTCAAACTGAAACCAGAATTTACGAAAATGCAACTTATTTTACGTAATTGAACTTAATTTAGACTATGCAATGTGCTCCTTCTTAGAATGATTGAAGTATTGAATTTTTTTGAGCACAGTTTTTGAAGAATATCTTATGTTTGACTTTTACATTATAATCATAAAGTGGGTCATTTTTACAAAGATATTCATGGGCCTCATAATTTTTTCCCAAGGGTCCGTCTTAATGCTTTGATAGTTAAACCACTCTCTCTGTGAAGGGCCTCAGTGCCTGCATCTGTGGCTTTTCATGAGAAGAGCCTGTCAGTTCAGGCCTGTCAGCTCCTTGTTTATCAGTGCCGCGTGTGGGATCCGAGTCCCTCACTAAAACCATATTTATCAAGCCTGTTGAAACCTGCATCTTTTGCAAGGTTTGCAGATTCACTCCGCTGCTGATTTGCTTTACTTTGGATTATTACATTTGATACTGAGAGCAAAGACTGATTGACATGGGGACTTTGTATTCTTAGGGGCAAATTCCAAAGTATTTGGGAAACCACATCACAGGGATCTTTCTTTCTTTCTTTTCTTTTTTTCCCCTTTTTAAAGACAGAGTCCCCTCTGTCCCCTTGGGTAGAGTGCCATAGTGTTATAGCTTATAGCAACTTCAAATTCTTGGGCTCAAGCGATCCTCTTGACTCAGCCTCCTGAGTAGCCGGGACTACAGGTGCCCACCACCACACCTAGCTATTTTTTCTATTTTCAGTAGAGACGAGGTCTCGCTCTTGCTCAGGCTGGTCTCCAACTTCTGAGCTCAAGTAATCTACCAGCCTCAGCCTCCCACAGTGCTAAGATTACAGCTATCATCCCACCCACCACAGGGATCTTATTGAAATGGCAGATTCTACCTTGGAGAGCATAAGTGGTGACCAGAAATTCTGCAGTCCTCAAAAGCCTCCTGGTGATGCCAATTTTGCTGACCCCGCTGGTCATAAGCCACCCTTGGAGGAGCAAAGTAGATGGTGCCTTTTCATGTTAGTGCCTTCACCGCCTTCTTCCTACAAAGCCCCTGTGTCACAGCACGCGGACAACTGGGCCGCGTGGCGGAAGTTGGCGTCTTACATCCTGCTTCTCAGGAACAAATCTCCAACAGAAGAAATCCTTCAGCCTTTTTCCTAGACCAGTGTTTTTCAACCTTTTTTATCTCACAGCATACTTGAACCTATAGTTAAACTTCCATGGCACACTTAAATTCTGTTGGTCAAAAAAGAATTAAAAAAAGAATCTACTTACAGTGCTTTGAACTTTTTTTGAAAATAATTCAATTAAGGATCTTTAAAAGTTTTCGTGGTGCACCTAAGATCCTCTCATGGCACACTGTTTGAGAATCACTGCTCTAGACCGAGGCTCTCACGTCACTTGAGAGGCATATCAGTAGAAATTATTTACATATTAGTTCCTCAATTTTTTATTGTGGTAAAATACTTAAAATTTACAGGTTTAACCCATATAGCTCAAGAGTGTTAGATGCATTCACGGTGCCGGGCAGCCACCACCTCCACCCCACACCTCTCTTCATCTTGTGGAACCAAGACTCTGTACCCAACAGTCCTCTCGTCTCTGGGGTTTGGCTACTCTTACACCCTCCTATAAGTGAAACGGTTCTGCAGTTGTCTTTCTGTGACAGGCTGACATCACAGTTGCACGATGTGCTCAAGGTTCTTCCATGTTGCAGCTTATGTCAGAATTTCCTTCCCTTGTAAGAAAAAAATGACCCATTCCATGTACATTCCACATTTTGCCTATTTATCAGCTATTGATGGACGTGGGTTGCTTCGTGGCTTAGGTGTTGTAAATGAGGCCTCTGTGACTGTACGTGCACAAAGATCTCTTGGAGGTCCTGTTTTCAATTTTTTGAGATACATACTGAGAAGGGAATTGCTGGTTCGTATGGTAATTCTATTTTTAATTTTTTGAGGGCCTGCTGTGCTGTTTTCTGCTGCAACTGTATTATTTTACATTCCCCCAATAGACCCAAGACTGGCAATTTCTCTATATTCTCACCAGCACGTGATGCTTTCTTTCTTTCCATAGTAGGTGTCCTGATGCATGCGAGGTGGTATTTCACTGTAGCTTTGATTTACATTTCACTAATGATTCGTGACATTGAGCATTTTTCTTTATGTGCTTTGTGTTTTAGATTTAGGGTTTTGATCCATTTTGAATTTGCTCTGAGTATGGTGTTAGGTAAGAGTCCAGCTTCATCCTTTTGCCTGGGGATGGATATTCAGTCCTCACAGAACCTTTATTGAAAGACTCCTTTCCCTTTGAATGGTCTGGGCATTCTTGCTAAAAGCCATTTGTCCATGTTTGGTAGTTTATTTCTGGGCTTTTTATTTTATTCCATTTGTCTGTACGTCTGTCTTTTATTTGTCTTTGAGGGCATAAAGGGTGAAGCTTAAATAGAGGCGAGCCACATGAGGCCTGAAAATCAAGTTTGCGAGCTCATCAATAGAAAAAGCACCACATGCCTCTGTGCTGAATATCACTACAGTCTCCTTCAAAGTGCCCCTGGGAAGCTGTGTGTCGGTGTCAGCGCCTTGTCCCTCCTTCAAAGCAATGGTGGGACTCTTTCTGGAATGGCCATCAGAGCCATTGTCCTGAATATCATCAAATTATCTTCCTTTCAATGTTTTATTTTTATTTTTTATATATATATATATTTTTCAACAGTCCTTGGTCCCCTGCCTGGGTTCTTCACTGGCTGACAGAGAACAGGTAGGGCTTGGGGGCGTGATGCACACTGTTCACTAATGTTGAGATTTGCAGGTTCTTGGTGTCCAAGGCTGCCCTTCTCTCCTCATATCCCTGGTGCTGCCTGCAGGGGCACTGTGGTGCATTATGGTTGTTCCTGTCTGCATGCTTTTTATTTTACTTTATTATTATTATTATTATTATTATTTTTTGAGACAGAGTCTTACCATATTGCCCTCAGTAGAGTGCTGTAGCATCACAGCTCACAGCAACCTCCATCTCTTGAGCTTAGGTGATTCTCTTGCCTCAGCCTCCTGAGTAGCTGGGACTACAGGTGCCTGCCACAATGCCCGGCTATTTTTCTTTTTTAGCATTATTATTATTATTTTTTAAATTAGATCATAGCTGTGTACATTGATACTGTCATGGGGTACAGTGTGTTATTTTTATATACAATTTGAAATATTCTCATCAAACTGGTTAACATAGGCTTCATGTCATTTTCTTACTCATTATGTTAAGACATCTATATATATATTTTTTTTCTTTTTGGTTGCAGTTTGGCTGAGGCTGGGTTTGAACCTGCCATCCTTGGTATATGGCACCAGTGCCCTACTCACTGAGTCACCAGTGCCACCCTGCCTGGCTATGTTTTTGTTGTAGTTGTCATTGTTTAGCAGGCCTGGGCTGGGCTCCAACCCCCAGCTTCAGTGTATGTGGCTGGCACCCTACTCACTGAGCTATGGGTGCTAAGCCTGTTTCTTTTATCTTTGAGGAAATAAAAAAGTCATTGGGGGCCAGATCAGGCAAGTAGGGAGGGTGTTTCAATACAGTTATTTGTTTACTGGCTGAAAACTCTCCCCCAGTGCTGTGTGAGCTGGAGCACTGTTGTGCAAGAGCCGGGAGTTGTTGGTCATCTTCATCTTTTTCAGTCTTTTTAGCACTTCCCAATAGTCAACTTGGCTCACTCTTTGTCCATTTGGTACAAATTCGTAATGAACAGCATCGTTTTGATTCTTCACTTGGACTGATGGGATTTTTGGTCATGGAGACCTGGCTGACTTCCACTGTGCACTTTGACACTTCGTTTCAGGGTTGTCTTGGTGGACCCATGTTTTGTCACCAGTGATAACATGGCCCCAAACATTGTCTTGCCTCTCCGAAAGGTCTTAGCAAACTTCCCGCTACCATATCTTAGTTCATCCATGAGCTCCTTTGGGACCATTTTTGCACACACTTTTTTTCATGCCAAGATTTTCAGTTAAGATTTTACTAACTGTTGCTCTATTGATATTTACTTAGTCTTCTATGCTTCTCGCAGTTAGCCAGTGATTTTGATCCAAAACTTGACAAATTTTTGTAGTGTTCCTGTCAGTTCTTCTCGTTACGGGCTACTCTGACTTCTCTTCATCAGTGACGCTTCCTCTCTCCTCCCCAAAATGTTTAATCCATTTGTACACAGCCATTTTCTTCACGGCACTATCCCCATAAACTTGGGCTTACAAGTCCCTAATTTCACTTCCACTCATGTCAAGTTTAATAAGAAATTTAATGTTTGTTTGTTGCTCTAATTCAAACTCTGACATTCACAAAAACATGTAACGACACTAATGGATGCCACTCAGGAAGAAAACACTACACGTTGACACAGCACAGCCATGAGAGGCTGACACACCAAGGTTAAGAAACCTTACTGAGGGTGGCGCCTGTGGCTCAGTGAGTAGGGCGCTGGCCACATATACTGAGGGTGATAGGTTTGAACCTGGCCCCAGCTAAACTGCAAGAAAAAATAGCCGGGCATTGTGGTGGGCACCTGTAGTGCCAGCTACTCAGGAGGCTGAGGCAAGAGAATTGCCTAAGCCCAGAATTTGGAGGTTGCTGTGAGCTGTGACAACATGGCACTCTACGGAGGGGGATAAAGTGAGACTCTGTCTCAAAAAACAAACAAAAACCTTAAAAACCTCAAAAACCTCAAAAACCTTACCAAGCTGTTTGTACAGTGCATGGTGGCAAGTTTGCAAACTTAATTGTCAAACCTCAGACATCTGCTTCTATTCCAGTACTGTCCTATATTGAT